TAACCTTTTGCTACACAAAATTGAATTTGTCAACACGTACGCTGTAGCAGTTTTGGGATTCAAACGAGCTTTCAAATCTCATTTGCGTAATTTTTCTTTCTCTATTGCTCCCTGAATTGGCATTATAAAATTATGACAATGTCCCAAGACACCACAGGATGAATTTGCATAATAAACATTTTCATAAAGGTTGTAGCTGACATCAGCACAATGACTCTGAGAGGAATTCTCTCCCCATCACCTGCCGTTATTACGTAATTCCTGAGCCAGGTGTGATGGTTTGCTTTTGATGTTCAAAACAACGTAGGCCTATAGTGATATTAAGGAGTCTTTCCTCTTTGGTTATTGCTTCTTGGGATTTGGAATCCTAAATCCTTCTGTCGTGCAGAGAGTGACTAAGGCCTATACATATGAATGAAGATTTACACATCAGGCTCAAAGAGATTGCGTTCAATCAGATGCCACTGCTCACTAGCGCCGAGGGCTGAGCTGAGGAGTAATATCCTACATTCAGAGCAGGGAGATTTTACTTTCCCTCAGACTTTGTTTTATTCTGATCTGCTTTCATCCATTGAAACATTTGTCTATCTGAAAATCCTTGGCTAACTCATCTGTGCCATCATGAGTCATGGGAAAGCTATATGTCTTTAATCATGGCTATTTTTGAGTACTTCTGCTAAAATGTTTAATTGAGGAAAGTGTGCCATTACTAGACTCAGTCCTCAAAGAACGCTTTAGCAAACAACAAAGCAACATGGCAAAAATCCTTTTGACTTTGCAACTGCATGGTAACCGCTCAAACACTTCTTCAGCATCCACATAGCAACTTGGAAAGAATGTCAAAAAACAGTCTAGTGACCTTACCATACACTCTTAGAAAAAAAGGTAAGCTGTCAACGGGGTGGTACCCAAAAGCTAAAAGGTAAATATTTTACCCCATATTACATATAAATACCTTAAGTTAAAAGTACTTTAGAGAGTACTTTAAAAGTACATATTAGTAGGCTAACAAACGTGTCCATATTAGTCCATAATTCTATATAAAACAACAGTGGACTTAACATCAAAATTGAACATCTAATGTTAAAATGTATTTTTTTATATACTTTTTTAAATTATATTTTTAATGTAACCTTCTTCCTTTAGATATTTTGTAAGTTCAAGAATAAATTATACAATTTTAAATGACATATTAGAAAGATTTAAAAGAGCAGTTTCATGTCTATCTTTGTATTGTTCAACTGGTCGAGGTTGAAATGGGATTTAGAAAGTAATTAATAATAAGTAATCCACTGCTTTTTAGAGAGAGTAATTAGTACAGTAATCTAATTACACGGTTGAAGATGTAATTTTTTTAGAGTAATTCAATCAACACTAATGCGCAGCCACCCAAAATACCTTAAACAAATACTGTACATAGCAACACCTTCTGAACTACCTAGCATGCTCAAGACACCCCATAACAACAGCCTACCCTGACATAACTTTAATTTTTGCCATTTCTTGTCTGGATGCTACAGTAGACGCTAAATTGCCACTTGGGGCCACTTGTGCTTTTTGAGAGCAAACTCTAACATTTATCTTATCTTAACGTACGTTCAGGATTATTTCAAGTCATTTTTCACTGTCATATATCACTCTGCAATCTCTAGAAGCATAGCCGGAGGGTGAACCAACTCAGGGTAAAGCTAAAAGCAGCCTATGTTAGTGTAATCTATAACTATGCACATCATAAACCCATCTTTTTTAGGCAATTAAGTACCAGATATGGGTGTCATAAAATATTTTTAATACGACTGAATTGGTATTTAACTTGATCACAGTTTTAAAAAATTGTAAGCAACTAATTATAACGCTTTCATTTTCACGGTTATTCGCGTTGGGGTCCGGGGCTTATTCTGCGATAACAACCAGCTGTATGTACATTATATCTTACTTAACACACAAGACATATTCAACAGAGCGACGAATCGACGAGTCACCATGGAAACGGATGCTAAGAATAAGCGCTCCATGCTGCTTCTTTCTTTTTCCTTTGTTCAATGGCCATTTACATACTTGATGCATATTGCCACCTAATTGATGGTTGTGCAATCATTTTTCAATTTTTCTTCGTTTAATCTTTGGATATTTTAATAAAAAAATCTTACATATTGTGCCTTTAATTACTGAGAATAGAAATTCTATTGTGTGATGCTAATTATATAATAAGAAATATCATGTATTTTTTTTTATTATAGAAAATGCAGATAGGCTATTGTATATTTGATAACTATGTTGTAATCATATATAATATTCTGCCCAATCTGTCACACCTACTAGAGTCTCGTCAATAGGTCACGCATGCGCTGATAGCGCTTAAGTAAACTGACCCTGAAAAATAACCTACTCTGGAGGGAGCAGGTTATGTTCAGAGAATAAGTTGCTAAGCTACTTACATATCCTGAGAGTTACCTTTGTTGTTGGAACCGAAAGCTGAGTTTATCCGCTTACTTACCGTTAAACATACCCAGGTATGTCACCTGCTTTCTGGAACACCCCCACAGGAGTTTGGGGGCACCAAAATAGAAAGGCTTTCACAGCCATGCGTCCTAAAAGGAATACAGAAAGGCACAGGAACATAAAGAGATCAAAAAGTGTAAGGACTAAAAAAAAGAGCGAGTATCAATAAAGCATCTCATTGATGGAGGAAGCTGAGAGCTTCTATGCACTTGATAACAGATTACAAGCTTGTTTTCTTCTGTCGGACAGGTAAATATATTGCTTTATCACCATGGTTACGCCAAAGCTGCAGGTTGTAGAAGGAGAGGGTGTGTTTGAAACACTAAACTACCTTTTTTGAGATGTTAATGGAGGTGTTTGTGTTGGACATTGTAGAAGAGAATGTTAGCATCAGTTTATTTTAATTTCAGGAGGAAATGTTTAATTTTTTGCACTATTTTTGTCTTCTGGTGTCGTGAGAAATCCTCCCTCTCCTCCACTGACATCCATTCATAAATATTGGCCTCTAGTTGCCGATGGTGGATGGCTTACATATAGCGGCCCTATAAATATAATCTTCTGGCTAACTTAGGGGGCATTTACACAACACCATTTATCAACTAAAAATGGAAATCTTTTTATGCGTTTTGGCTTTACATGACAATGGTGTTTTGGGGGAAACTTTTGAAAACTGTTATCGTCTTTTTGTAAACTACAAAACCGCAAATTTGTGAAAACCATGATATCATGCACATGCATATTACATGTTCGCGTACTATTTATTTACAAAGTTACATCGCCAACTACTGGCCTGGCATGCATAATACAACGCTTAAGTCATTTTCACAGATCCATGTGAACAGGGATTGTTTTGACAACGTTGTCATCTGTATGTTAAAAACACAAAGGACAAACTTTTCCTTTGTTTGTATATTGTTGTCATGTAAATGTTCCCTTCTAGAATGTAAAACCCTCCCAGCATTTCTTTGACATTGTCCTGTTTTAAATGTGTTCTTGCATTGGAAACTCTTTTTCTCTTCCTCAATTGATTTTTACCTATAATGTGTGTCACTAAATTATTGATCTTTTGTTTTGTTCCCCTTTACCATTACAAGGATAATCCATTTGCTTCTAGTTTGTTGCAGTCTAGTTTGTGCACTGCAGGAGGGAAATAAGAAATCCTGGGGTTCCTTTGTTTGGCAACCCTTAGACCTTGAGAAAAAAGCACTATACAACGGCAGTGCAAACAAATAAACTGGTGAACCATGCATTCAGATGAAATTCAGCATATACTGTATATGGTTGACAGGCAATCAGTGTGAGCTCTCAACAACCTGGGGATCCAACAAGAACAGCAGTGATTCCTTTGAATGGGCCGTTAAACTGACTAATGTTTTGGAGTGAGCAAATGGGAATAATGTTTGTCAGCTTGATCTGGATTTTTTTTTTCTGCCTTAAGTGTGTGACTGAAAATGTATATGATTGTCTGAAACAAGATTTCAGCAGCAGGTTGAACTGAATTGGCCCAAATATGTTTTTGTGGAACGTATCATTGCAATTTGCGGTTTACAGTGATAATTGTCTCAGCACTGTATCGATCTCTTGGAATGATGAAGAGAGAGAACCAAATAAGGCAGGTTTGGAGGAACTCTCCAAATACATCTTTGCACAATAACTGTTTTCTTTTATGTACCACTTGGATTTCTGAGGACATAGAGACGATCTTAACAGAGAGCGGAGATAAAGCACAAGCTTTGGGCTTATTGCCTGGTTCGAGAGGAGATTCTTAGACTGATTGCAGTGCGAGCTGCACACCTACCAAAGACAAGAGGGAACAGAGCAAAGAACACTGCAGCTTAAAGACTGATTATGGTTTCTGTTAGCAGCTCAAGATAAAAGCTTATTCCGCAACCAGGGCCCATAACCGCCAAAAAGTAATTTTTATTGCATAGCCGTTTCATAGTACAAGTCAGAGTGTGTCTGTTAGTGAGTGTTGTGCAAAATTCAGAATTTAACCATGCGCTCTTTTTCAATTTATGAATAAGGTCTGTTCACACTAAGACCGATACCTATAACTATAATGCTTTAATAATCATTCTATGAGAATAGAAAAGTCCACACTGCAACCAATGATAACAAGACAGAGAAATGATAAAATAGGGTTGGAACATAGACTGTATAAAAACATGGACGTAGTGTCCGTGACGTCACCCCTAAGTTCCTGAAGAGCGTTTTTGAAGATCAAAGTGGGCAGAGTCGGCCATCGCCATCTTGGCATGCGCGTCACCGCGCGTCACTCCTGGATAATCGAAAATGGGCAAAAAGGCGGGAGCTGGTTGCTGAAACCACGCCCACCTAGCGCGACGGTGGTGACAGCAGCGCAATCCACCTGTCACTCAAGTGGCCATGCCCTTAATTATGCAGAACTTTAAGGCTTAATATAATTTAAACGGATGACTTAGAAAAAAAATCACCCCCCTCACAGTTGTCATGAAGGGCAAAACTAGCTATATATGTGACTGTGTGTGTGTTGGAGTAATTCACACTGAGATCAGGTGGATGGTCACTCAAGGATGCTTTACTGGGCCTGACAGACAAAACTGGGACAAACACGACCAAAAGGCTGGTTAGAATACATTGCATCGATGTTGCATGATATGTCTTAACAGCAGGGAGATATAGAGACTCTGCTGCTGACATTTTCTCTAAAGTGCATGTATAGTGGGCAAAAACCTCAAAATAAAGCACACATTAAATAAAATAAAACAAAACACTAATACAGTCAATAAAACATTAACACAGAGAAACTATAAACTTAAGTGACCAATATTTTCCATATTTGGTATAAAAGACAGACAGAACGGGAATAATGCAGTCCTAAAATGGCGCCGCTACACACTTCAGCACGTGCGAGCATACAACACGTGTGCTAATAGCTAACATTCAACTATAGCTGATATTATTTTAACGCAGATCATGACAAAACCGAACAAAACACATACCTGGGACAAACACGACCAAAAGGCTGGTTAGAATACATTGCATCGATGTTGCATGAGAAGTCTTAGCTAAATGAAATAAACAGAGGTTCGGAGTTCACAAGCAGGCCAATAAACACTTCATTTTATCATCACAAATAACTGACAGACAAAATAAGTAAACTTGTGGGTAGTTTCAAGTTTAAACTTGGGCTTGAAAACAATTCAAACTTAGTTTTTAAGACGGAGCAATCATTTATGCGACTTACCAGCAGGGAGATATAGAGACTCTGCTGCTGATGACGTAGCTCCACCCCGCAACATCATGTGCGCAATGAGTGATGCAACAGTTTTCCCAATTTATGCATGAATTTAACTAATTATTTTAACTCCCTTACATATAGACCAAAATCATTTTTTTGAACCAGGCTGTAAACATGTTTTTTTCTGCTGTAAAGTTGGGCATTTTAACATGGGGAGTCTATGGGACTGACTCCCTTTTGCAGCCAGCCTCTAGCGGCCAGTTGACGAATTACAGTTTAAGTCACTTCCGTGTTGGCTTCACGAGAGAGAGCGGGAGGTTGCCGCTTGGGTTGGAATCAATTTCAGAATTTTTTATTTATTTATTTATTTATTCCATGCAGCTGATGAACGATAAAAGCATTGGCAGCCAATTAAAATCCACACTTTACTTTAAAGAGCTCAAGCATTTAAAGTGGCAGACAACAAAACTGCAGAAAACAATGTTATTGTCCATTGGTGTGGAGGCTAATATATAAGTATATAATTGATTTGGAGGTAGAATTTGTATTTGCTGAATTACAGTTCAAAGAATTTCAACATAACTTTGTTGACTAAACATAAATAATTTAATTATGACTAATTATGCCTATATATTGCTTTATATGTAGACATAATTAGTTAGAATTGATATTGCTCATTTATATCTTTATATTATGTATCATTTATATTACTATATCTAATTATATTTTATCTCATAATTCACTCACATACAAGATTATTTGGAAAATCTGAACACATTTAACTTTTTAGTTAAATCTACACACTATTCTAACAGTTAGAATTAATCATCATTATCATCAATATAAAAACAATAATATACATAAGATTAGATCATTTTTAAAAAATATTTAATTATTTAATAATGTTATTTAAAACAAATAATGAATAATAAATGAATTTCTGCATCATATAACTTCTTTTTTTTTTTTTTTTAATTCCCCATATATTTTGTGTATTGTATGTTTTTAATACTGGGTAATACATATACATTTTTGTATGTGCTATTAAAAAAATACTATTAACAACCTTTAAATTCCTTTGAATTTTATTTAATTTGAATAGTACTTAATACTAATAAAACTCAAAATTTGAGTTGCAACTCTGCATCCTGTTTGAGACACCTTTAGCTTAAATTATTTTAAATTCAGAAATGGAATAGGAATATAAAGGCACTCTAAATTCTGAATGGTGAACAGCACTGTAAATCACTTGAGAATGCATGTTATACTCAATACTGGTCATTTATTAAAAACCATACAGTATCTAAAATTACTATCTTGGAGTGAGAAATAAGAACATAGTTTTGAAGATGTGAACTGAATAACCTTGATAATGTAATATTTCAAATATTGAATGTTATATGAGATTTCAGTCCGTACCTTAGAGACCAAAGCCTCAGCTGCAGTTCTATTATGATCTTAATCCTAACTCAGCCTTCCTGAGTATTACCCTTGTTGATTATTCTATTTCCAGTGTTAGACTCTTTATAGAATCACAGATTGAACCATTGCCAAGGTCCCCTGACTGTAAAGTGCCAGCAAACAAGTGGTGCATTTTAATGTTCTCATATACCTGTATAAGAGAGCAGTTGTGTTATAGGTTTTGGTCAGTGCTGTCTCATACACAGTCAAATTGAAAAACAGTCTTGCTTTCTCAGTGGAACATTGTGTTCCGTACATATGAGGCCCATTAGAGGTAATGACTTGACCATTCGTGAAGGACAGGCACTTTGAATCAACTTCTTGTTAGTGCTTTTTTATCTGTGAGTGATAAGGACAGATGCAGAAGTGTTTGAAAAATGACAAATGATAACAGGGACCTATATAGTGAAATTTAATAGGTTGGTGAGGTGTGTGGATGAGGTGCCGCCACCATAAACACAAGGAACAAAAGAAGTAAACAATGCATTTTGTATTTTAATACCTGCAGCAATGGCCATTCTTAAATCTGCTGATATTATTCAACAGCTTTTAATCGCTGAATTTTAAGTAGTTTATCCACATTTAAAATGCAATGAATTGTATAATTAAAGTAGCTTAGAATGTAAATCAGTGGGCTGGAAAGGCAGTAGGTAATTAAACAGTTTTCCTAGTGGAATAAAGTCCAATTGTCTCAGGAAAAAAAAGTGAAGAAAAATCTGTTGAACAGGAAGAAAACATGTTTTGGTGTGTTTCTTGGTGCATAATTTGAGTCAGTAACAAATGCATGCAACTAAAAAGAAAAAAAAGAAAAGAAAGATTGAACTACAGTTATCTAGTAAAATCATCATCTTATCATTATTGTAATGATTTTAAGTATGCACTTTTGATGCATGTAATTTTTTCCTCATTAAAAAGGTCCCTACGGAAATGAATAGAACTTTTGAAAAATATGTGAGTTTACGTAATTTTAAACATGAGATGAAGACTAGTGAAGTAGCTAATGAAAGCAGTTTTATTTTCTTGGAGCCAGTTCCTCAAGGGGACTTTCATATTGACACCATGTGACTAGTCGAAGACTAGTTTGTTCTTGGTAACCTGCTTGATTCACTGGCATAACAAACGTCACTCTAGAGCATTATGCACAATACATTTTTCAAGTGCTGTAATGTTTGCAGTTTGATGGAGTGTCTGTGAGCTTCATGCTGTTTTTTCTGAGAACAAGGGCTGCTTTGTGGTCTGAAGTTGCAATTAAGATTTAGCAGATGGAAGCCTCACAATTAGTTGGGGGTGGTAATCAATTTCTGCCATTTACTAAGGACTGGAATGGTGCCATGGAGAGAAAAGCCTGCGTTTCGCGCAAGACCCGTAACGTGATTTCAATGCTGCTCCACTTCAGTATGTGGAGCTGTGCATGTGAACCATTTCTGAGTGCTCTTGCACCGCACAAACCTCAGAATGAAATGCATTACCCATACAAGCATCTTAGAGCCACTCGTCGTACCCTTGAGATGCAATCTGAGGCGATGCAATCTATTGGACATTGCATGTTTTTTTTACTAAAACCTTGTTTATTGGAATAGCCAATTAAACGTGTATTATCAAACTATAACAACATATGCTTTCGTGTTCATTGCTGTGCATTCAGCATATTGATTTCCAATTACACCATTTACAGGATGAGTATTGCACAAGTAAAGGACCGTCATGTTATCTGAGGCACATATGACATGTGAATTGTGCAAGCGCGCATCTGTGTGTGTCCACTGTTGATGAGCAGATGTTTATGCTGATGAGAAGAGCTTAGGGAATGTGGCTAGCTCTGCTCTAGATGAGATGAGATTGGCATGGCTTTCTCAGCCCTCCACTCATGGCTCCTGTGGGCCACATGATGCCGCAGACAAGAACATGTTAGTACTGAATGTTATGGCAAGATGAATGGGCGCCCACCGAGGAGTTGGTTTTCATCTTGAACATCTCATCACTCTTCCTGACTAATCCTCTGTGCTGCTTTGCTCAGGAAGAGCCAGGTGGCGCTTATTCAACGACACGGAATATGTCAGGAGTAAACCGCGCATACATCAACCGTCATCAGTTTAACAGGCCTCTACGTGCTCCTACACCCCACGAAGTGGCACACCAGACACCATTGAGGGTGCACCGTTGTATCTCCAAGACAACTCTTTACTGACCAATCCAAAAATGTTGGCTGGCAAATGCTGCTGTCCCCCATATTGTCAGAGACTAACAATTGTACCTTTCTTTTTGCCTTGTACAGAAGAAGTAAAGGCCCTGATACACGCACAAAAAAAGTATGAAAAACATGAGCAGCGGTATACTGTTAGCGAACATCCCAACACCACCTTGCTGCTAAGAGTGGAGAATTACAACTTCAATTTCTACTATAAAGCAGCTCTCCAGTGTGTTCACATTGCTTCTGACCCTGACAGACTGAACAGAAGAAATGAATCAGAGAAGATTTCCACATCAAAGAAGGTGGAGCTGCAGAGCACTAGGGCTGGGACGATAAATCGATGCAGAATCGATATTTTCAGAATGCATGGCGATTCCTCTGGAATCGATTCTGAGCTTAGATTTTAACAGCAGATGGCGCTCTAATCTAGTTTTTATCCGCACACTCAAATGCTCATGAAAAAGAGTGCTAAAGAGCGCTTGTGCGTTCGGCTGAGTTATGTAACGCTAATTTCACCTAAGCTCAGAATGCTTTTATGACGCGAGATTAATGTAAACACAGTCCACTGTGAACACCCTTGTAATTCGCTTCAACCTTTTCGAATTTTATGAATGATTATTTTAGGTTCAAGTGTGTGTAAGGATTTG